GCCTAAGATTTGGAGGATCGCTGTTTTCCGCCCCCAGAAGCCCAAAATCAGAGAAAAATTAGAGAAAAAAATTTCTCCATACAATGTCGAAGAGAAAAGAAGAGAAAAGAGGAAAACTAATGTTTTTTTTAGATCTCTCTTTTTCTCCCGCCTCCTTATCTCGTTACCATTCCCTCTCTCTTTTGCCCGCCTCTAATCCGTCTTTTCCTATTTCTCCTTCCCCCACTCGTTTTGCATAGCCAACCCGAATTGTTGAAATCATCACGTTTTGGTGCCGAAAGCTGACAAAGACCAACCCATCCGATCAGGAGTTGCTTGGAGGTGAAAAATCTCTTTAAATTTTTTATTTGCTAGTTTTTGAGGGGTGATAGTTCTCTGGAAATTTTGTCGGTTTAGGGCTTTTAGTGTTGAATTTTTTAATTTGAATGTTTTCATTTGGTGGAAGTTATTATTCTTAGAGGTGTTTTCGAATTCTATTAGTTAATTTGGTATGCTTATCATCTGCTTCTCGTGAAACTGGATAATTTGTGGAGTCTTATTGTAGCTTCAAAATTATTTGTCTCTTCATGATTATAGCTTGAAGGTTGTACTATTTTTAGGAGGTCCAGTGACGCCCTTCTGGAAGGTTGTTTATATAACTTTACTGCTTTCACCATAAAATGTTTTATAGCGTCCAGTCTTGCCCTTCTGGATTTGGTGGCGGTTTTTACAATCTTATGGTTACCGTAACGAGTAAATGTGTTGCTTTTAGTGTTGTGGATGATCTTTCTTATGATTGTACACTGGCTGGGATTGTGAGTTTTATGATACACATATAATTAATTGCCATGGGATCTAAAAGGATAAAAAAATAATAAAAGCGAGTTATAGTTTAAAAAAACCGCGTATTTTAAAGTATGCTAAATAAGTTCCATTAGGTCGAAACAAAAGAAAATTGATAGAAATCATATGTTAGTCAATGAAAATCGCGAGTCTTAAACGAAAAAAAACTAACTGTTATTTGGCTGGAATTGATAAAAAAAACAAAAACATGGGTAGCCCATGAAAATTGCCATACATTTTTCTTAGGTCAAATAGGATGAAAATTGCCATAATTTTTTATCTAACATTTAACATATGGCCTTCTGTTATATTTACCTATTATGTATGTTGGCAATTCTTTCATCCAATTGTATTAGGGACTCGCTCCTCCAACCAAGTTAAACTCTTGGCCTCGTAAGATGTTTGATTAATATGCATTTAATCTTGCGATCTCTTATCTTGCCCTCTATGTAATATGCAGCACACACATGAGAGGTGGCATGATAGTTTGGTATAACATGACTCGAGCATGTAAACGAAGTTATTTCCCAAAAAGACAGGAAACTATAGCGTAGTTTTAGAAAGAAAAATCTCTTTAGTTTTTGTTGTAAAACCACTAGTCTTGTAGTACTGAATATTGATTATACTTGTTCTTCATACTTGGATATAGTAGCTTAGTTCTAGTGTATAAAAGTGTATAAAAAACATTCTTCTGATCATGGTTTTAAATGTCGTCCGACATGTCGGATCAGAGACTAGAGCGACACGGATATGACCATTTCAAGTAGGATATCGTTTTCGAAGTTCATGTCGGACATATCGGGGGATATTGCGGACATATTGACCGATTTTTAAGCTTGAAAAATCAAAAAGCGGCTGATTTTTTTATTTTTTATTATTTTCTGAGTTGATAAGTATGGTTTGGGTTTAGTACTCAAAAGCCAAACCTGATTATTTTTTTAGCCTTTTTTCCTATAGTAACTCGATAGCATATAATACAGATTAGGGCAAAAAAAAATATATTATCCTTCTTTCCCTCCGCGATATCCTCTCTTTCGTCTTCGTCTCTACAAATTAAAATTGAGAATTCATAAAAGCATGATGTAAACAACAAATTTGAACCGTAGCTTAAAATCAATTCAAAATCTAACACTTTATGTTAATTTTATGCAAGACACTTTATTTAATGTTAATTTTATGCAAGGCAATTCAAAAGTTCTAGTTTGACAATA